CTAAGTGTGCCTATAAGGGTAGCAGTCAGATTGATGTTACTGCTTTGACCATACTCTTTATCAGTTACCATTGACACGATTACAGCACAGTAGGGCTCTAGGTCATATGCCCCTATATAAATCAATGGTGAGACCTCATTTGGAATACTGTGTGCAGTTCTGGTCACCACACCTTAAAAAGGATATTATAGCTTTGGAAAAAGTGCAGAAAAGGGCAACTCGAATGATAAAAGGGTTGGAACTTTCCCTATGAGGAAAGGTTAAAGCGCTTAGGGCACTTTAGGTTGGAGAAAAGATGACTGAGGGGTGACATGATTGAGGTTTACAAGATTATGCATGGGAAAGAACAGGTAGAGAAAGAGGTACTTTTCTCCCTTTCTCACAATACAAGAACTCGTGGGCACTCCATGAAATTGCTGAGCGGTCGGGTTAGAACGGATAAAAGGAAGTACTTATTCACCCAACGAGTGATTAACACATGGAATTCACTGCCACAGGAAGTGGTGGCGGCTACAAGCATGGACGGCTTCAAAAGGGAATTAGATAAGCATATGGAGCAGAGGTCCATCAGTGGCTATTAGCCACAAGGTATAGATAGGGGCTCTGGGGCAAGTGATGCTCTGTCTTCTTGGTGCTTGAGGGGGCCAACAGTGGGAGGGCTTCTAATGTCCTGGCCCCACTGGTGGACCTCCTGATGGCACCTGGTATTTCTGGCCACTGTGTGATACAGAGTGTTGGACTGGATGGGCCTTTGGCCTGATCCAACATGGGCGTCTCTTATGTTCTTGTGTCAGATGGGATACTGGACTTAGCCCTGTTCTGGTCTAGTGACAGGCTGCCAGGAATAGGTTAATGTCTCTGTTCATGGGTCAGAAGGCAGGACACAAAGCCTGATACCAAGGAGTAAGGGTGGCCTTTCTTTCCCCTATCCTCTTGCTATGTAACTATGGGATAATGGAATTTTTGGCACTCTTAGATTGTGTACTTGCCCAAAGACTGCGACAGTGTGGGTGTATAGAAGGGGACAAAAAAATCTAACAAAATGAGAAAGGCCTCCTCAAGAGATGCAGAAATCACGAAGCCTGCCAAGGAACAGTCCCAGGGGTTGCTGCAGTCATCTGTGCATGGATCAAATGGAAGGGCTGAAATTCAAGGCAAGTCTACATTTTTAGTGTAGTGAGAAAAGCAAATGGAAATGAGATTAAAAAGCAGTGACACTATTTCTGGTAGGAGCAGAATGTTTCTGATCACCTGCCACCATGTGCTGAGAGAACTAGATAGAACACTTTCCTACCAGAAGAAGAGCAGGTCTTTGTACCCTGCTTTTCTCTACCTTAAGGAGTCTCAAAGCGGCTTGTGATCACCTTCCCTTCCTCTCCCCACAGCAGACACACTCTGAGTTAGGTGGGGTTGAGGGAGTTCTGAGAGAACTGTGACTGGCCCTGGGTCACCCAGCTGGCTTTATATGGAGGAGGAGTGGGGAATTAAACCTGGTTCTCCAGATTAGAATCCGCCACTCTTAACCACACTACACCATACTGGCTGTTGAAAAGATGCTTCGGGAAGGACTTCCTAGTTGCTTCCCAATTTTACATAAGGGGAAACCCAGATGATTTCCACTGCCACTCTGAGGTACTACATGGCTACTGGGAAAGTTTTTCTTGGTTTCATGAAGGGGAGTGTGTGGGCCAATTTTTAGATTTCGCAAAGGAGGATTATGCCATCTGTAGCCCAGAACAGTAGGTCTCTGACCTCTCTTCCTAGCAGGAAGATTTGTAGCAGCCTTTGAGGTCAGGCAGCAGTTTTTCTCCAGGCCAGTTTGGCCAGTGATTCTCAAAGTTTTTTGCCATCTTCTGGGCATGGAGCAGGGGTCGCTGGGTGTGTGTGTGTGTGTGTGGGGAGAGTGTTTGTGAATTTCCTGCACTGTGCAGTGAGTTGAACTAGATGACCCTAGAGGTCCATTCCAACACTTACCATTCTATGATTCTATCAGAAAGGGCATTGCCCTGTCGACAGCCTGCCCCCCCCTTAATATGTTAAGTAACAGCATCAAGGAATAGGTCCATGGAGGAGTCATTGATGCCAAACTGGCTAAGTTTAACTTCCAGACACATCTGGAGACGAGGAGGCCCTGCTGTGCTACACATCTGCCAGTATGCAGAAGAATTTTGTTTTTAGTAAGTCAAAAATACTGCTGATTAATTGTACGAATGCATTGCAGTGTTATGACCTTACAGGGCTTTAAGAGCATGAAGAATGAAGGGAA